GTATTGGCCAGTGCAGGGCTAATCATAAAGTACACACCATATTGATGAAACATATTAAATGAAAACAACAAGCCAGGAATAACTATAAACAAGGATACTACTTGGAAATGTAATATAGTATAATAACGGGGGGTTATGTAACAACATTTCAACAATGTTGCAGTCTCCATTTGACATGGTAATGTTAGCTAAGGAAACGACAAGTTAAATAAAAGTCTAAAAAAGTATTTGAATATGCGTATTATGTAAAAGTTTAGAATAAGATAAATAAAAAAATAATATTTTTTTTAAACACGAATACAAAATAATAAATCTAGCTGATCATATTTTTGTATGCATCTGCACTAAATAATTATTAGCTCGTGATGTAATTCAGATTACAAAAATTGTTTGATACTAATTACTGGCGGAAACTAGTTGATTAACCCAATGTTTATGAAGCATAATATAACATTTATTAATCTAATTAAAAACGCAAATAAATATTAAATTGTGATGCATTTGATGTATGAAAGTATTGATTGTAACAGTACGTAATTTAAATTACAACTCAAGTTATATAAGTTTATTGCAACTTTTTAAATCCTATTTTGTGTCCAGCCGTTTCATTTTTCATATTAAATACGTATTCTAAGAACTAGAACGCGTATATTTTCCTTCATGAGTCACTCCAAGCCACAGTAAAACTATTAAAAAGTGGACAAGTTTTAAAAAGATGATTAAACCCTTCAAGTTTATGGTTAGAAGCTACAATTTTTTTGAATGATTTTCGTTATAGTTCTTATACTCATTTATAGCAGTGATTTTTTCAGCCGTTTAAAAATATACTTCACAAAAGTTACATCTCTTTCAACGTTTAAATAATTACAAAAATCATCTATCAACTATTCGTTGCCTAAGGGGTTGATTTTAGAAGACTTCAAAGAAAATATGATATTTATTCAAAGTACACAAAGAAGATGAAAAAAGCAAATCAGTGATCGAATATCCCCAGCAGCATTGTGAGGATGGGGAAGGCTTCGAGGGATAAAAAGATACTCTTTGTTATAAGTTTGCTCAAGTCTCTTTTTCTCGTGGACATTGAAAATGTTTAATCTTAACTTAATCTGGGTATAAAGAAGCCTTAGCGTCCCGTCATAGTTGGATGTAAGATGACATAATAAAATCGTACTTTAAAAACATTTACTAGATTATGATCAATTAACTAGATTTAGAGAGTTAATATACTTATTTTATTTCCAATCAGACATCATAGGTACAAAAATGTATGTACTTCAAAAATTTTACACTAGTTAATACAAATTATATATTTTTCTGTTGAACGTATTTTAATTTTATACAATTTTTTGTTTAAAACTAATTTATACTACATATCTGTCCTCATCACTTTGTATGGAACGAGCCCTGGTTATTTTAAACTCGGCTTGCAATTCCTAAAACACTTGCAGAGTTATGTACTTGACCCAACATTATAAATCTAGTATCATACAAACCATAAGTACTTTTAGCTGTTCGTCGAATAGTTAAAACACGACCAGACGCACTCTAGTTGGTTGCATTTACAAACTATTTGTTAACTATTAATATTGGTCTGCTATTTTATTTTTTACAACTAAACAAGTTTCAATTCATAGGTATCCCAATTATTTTTTCACATTCTTTTTCTAGTTCAAAATTATGTTATTTTAAAAGTGGACCTTTTCGTTAGTTTAATACCACAATTTATTTCATGTTGAAATGTTTAACTATCTAAAACATTTTTTGAGGTTAGGTTCGGTTAAGGCATGGGTATAACATAAACCTTATAGCGTGTATTGTTACACACCATTTATACGTGTAAGTAAATGATTAAAAATGTATCATAAAACTTAAATTTCACTTATAAAACTGACGTGTGAGAATATCATAAACATCTTTCAAACTCGTTTTGTAATAATCAGGAATATTAAGTATGAATCACCCAGAAGATATACTGGTGTGGGACGTCCAATAGAGAATGTGGGCCTAATGATATCCTGTCCTGTGATGTGCGATGACGGCCGAACAATGCCACGACGGATCAGGAATATTAAGAAAAACTTGACAGCGGATGTTCTTTAAGGCTGGATTATGACGAACCTCAATAGGGTAGTTCTGGGATGAACCGATAAAGTTTCGCATTTCATGTTATTAGAAAATAAAACTACAAAGACCCAAGGATAATGATCGTTATATAAATCCTATTCTAGTATTGTAGTAGGGGTAGTTGGAATAGAACCCACTGAAATGTTTTTTTTTTATTTGCTGGTAATTTGAGTAGGCCTAACTGAAAGTGAAGGTATTAACAATGCGTCAAAAAACCAGGAAATGACTGTATGGTTTCATAACAATATTTTTAAAATTAGGTCGTGCGTACGTAGTTAATCTTTCTGTTCGAATTTACTATAAAATACGGGGTTTCTCAGGGGATATCTATTGGCTGGAAAGGTGGGTATACACACACAAGGATGAACTTTCGAGGGTAAAAATTGGAAAAAATCTAAATAAAGTTTTTTTTTACTGATAATACGTACCACACTAGATTACGAAAAGTGCATTTAAGAAACACCACAGTGTTCACAAAACACAATTTGTAAACAAATGTAAAGCTCTTCGGGTCAAATGATTTATAAAACAGTAAATATACTAAGATATAGTTCGGCCGCTTAGAAAACGACCTACTCCAGCATTGGTTTAGCATTAGCGCGCAGGTCGTTTTCTAAGCGGCCGAACTATAGTAACAATAATAACTTTAAAGCTCATAGTTCTAAAAATACCTCTAAATACATTCACAGCTTAACTTATAAAATTCTGAAAACCTAAACAAAATAGAAAATCATCCTACAGTTATTCGTATGGTCCCCTTTTCAATTAAAAGTATTCAATTTAATTTACAATCGAAATGCGCTCAAAGAACGAAACATTCCAGATGTTTAACAAGTAACACTTTCGAGAGAGTTAGAGTATAAATTCCAGTTGGCGAGAACCAATTCCTCGTTCCTTCAAATTTGCTATTCGATTCACAGAGCTTTTTGCCCCAATGCGATAAACTTTGATCTAGACAGTTTGGATTTTGTTGCCAAGCAACCCCGACCGTGCTTCAATCAAAGAGGGATTACCTCTACCCCTCCCTCCTTCTTGATATATAGCAGGTACCCCTAGTGGGCAGCAGGCTACTTGTTAGTGGTTCTACTTTCATCCTGTGGTGGAACGTGTGCTCTGATTGGGGCTTAAAGTCAACTTAAGCTGGCTAATTGTTTAACTCTCCTCGTGTTAAGTTTTCTGTACGAATAGAGGTTTACTTGTCAAATCTTAGGGCCATATAGGCTAACAAATGACGAATTTGTTTTTGTACTTTAATTTTGTTATGTCCCATTTTTACGTTATAGACTGCTAGATTCTATAGTTCGGAACTGTTTCACATATAACTTTTGGTCAGATCGATGGTTACGGCATTATCACATAGATAAAGTCTTTTGGTGATTGGTGGAATTTGAACTAGGGACCACGTGGAATGAAGCCTTGCACTCTTCCACTACACCAGCTAAATCCCCAACTAGAACTGTGTAAAGAATTATTTATATAAATAAGTAAAATGGCTTTACTTACCTAAGCTTTCCTGTATCGCACAGACGTTTTAATTATGTTTTTTCCCATAAAACCCCATAAAATAACGAAAAATAGGATTATATAAAAAAGCTGGGTTTGATTTAACTTAATATGTTATGGTCCTTAAAATGTTAAGTTTTTTAAATTTTTTTTAATTTTGATTTTTAATGTGGATCTTCCAATAAAACCCTTTAAAATAACGGAAAAAAGGATTTTCTCGATAATGGCCCGAATGATTTTCTAAAAAAATGTGTATTTTATAGTCCTTTAAATTCCAAACAAAAGAACAAATCCCATTTCCATAAAAATTGCGGTTCAAAAGTTATTGTAACTTATGTTATTTTCCCATAAAAACCCATAAAATAACAAAAAAAATCTGATTTTGGAGAAAAGCTGGTTATGATCCAAATTAATATGTAATGGTCCTTATAACTCTTAAAAAATGGTACAACCTCTATTGCTGTAACAATGACGGTTCAAACGTTATTGCAACTTTTGTGATTTTTAACTATAAAATATCATATTTACTCTCACCGCTTACCCATGATAAAGGTTGTTGACAAGCTTATGGGAGAAAGTATGTGTCAGCGAGTATTTTCGTTTAGTAGTTTGTTTATCGAGGTGGAGCAAGTATGAAGAATATTTTAGTTTCCAAAATAGCAGTATTTTAATCTGTTTAGGTAAAGATTTTAAAATTATGAGTACCAAAGCCTGCTATTTTACACTACCAAATATTGGCGCCTAATAAGCAAGATTAGGTAATTTGTATTATCTAACTACATTTTTTATATGTCTACTGAAAAAACGTACGAAAAAACATGTTATAGACTAAAGCGATACATGCTTAATATACCGTAATGTGTCTCAATGGACATCAATGGTCTCAATGGTCAATGGTCAATGGCTCAATGGATATCTTGAACGCAACTGCAATATACCTGAAATAAAGTCGTTCTAAATGAAGTTTTACGACATAGTCTTCCAACCACGTTCACTGCATAATTCACAATATTTTCCCTCTGTTTTACTTTCATTTTTATCTCCCTTTCTCACTAAAAGTCCACTTGTCAAAACAAGGTTATTGAAATATATCTTTACCATTATTTTTCTTTTCATATGATCCGATGGTAAATGAATTCTAAAAAATAGAAAGTGGGTTTCTTTTTCATTGTAATATTAAGGTAAAATTCGACGATCGCATTAATATCTCTTATTGTAAAAAATCCTTTAGACTTGGTAGACTTTGAAATTAGTTTAACTTACGGCATAACTTCTAAGTTGTTCTCTTGTTAGCCTACCTTATCGCACTAAAACTATAGGAAAAACTTTATATTTAATCTAAATAGATTGTATAAGGTCTCCTAATGTTACAGGTGATTTTGTGCTTCTGTGGCGAAGAGGCAGTGCTGTGCTAACAGCTGACAAGATAATGGTGATACGAGACCAAAGGTTCCAGCTGGTGGATGGATACAATCTACAAATCAGCAACGTGATGCCACAAGACGCTGGTGACTACGTGTGTCAGATAGGAGACGGTGACAACAGAGACCAGATACACACAGTGGAGATACTGGGTGAGTCAAGTTGTGTGTTAAAATTAACAAAAAACTAGGTAATAACCACAAATATACCATGCTTTCTGTATTAAATTTGAGAATTATTAATACGAGAACAGGTTTTTCGGGGCATGAAAACTGGACAATATCACAAAAACATAATTCGACAAGTTTTAAACATCTAAACCTGAACACAGTGCAAACTTTTTCCTGACTTATTCTTATCCCTGTCCTCTCATTGGTCAATTATAATGTTAGTGGAGAGGGAAAGACACACTATTCAAAAACCATTCAGAAAAAAATTAGTGGTCCCTTATCATTACTTGAAATTATTTCTACAGTCATTTCAAAATCCCCAGGGTTAATTTTCAGCTGTATGTAAAACTGTAAGACTTATGTAAAAAACGTTATTTTGTCGTTACAAGGTCAGACTAAAATCTGCTTGGGATTTAATCTTGGAAACATATTATTAACCATAAAGATCAAAAGCTTTCAAACAAATTACAAGATAAATTTAAGTTACGAAAAATCTTATGCACATTAAAAATCATAAATCTAATATGATCATACATCATCTGACGAAAAACATTCCCACTCCAGAAAGACTGGTAATAAATGAGGATACCTCGGTTTTTGCCAACCTTGAAAGATCGAGCACTAAAATGATGCGTCAAGTTCTTGTCAAGAAGACTTCCGTTGGATCAATCATTTCCGAGTCTCTCTTATCTGAATTGGTTTCCCCTTCATCGACGAGGCTTTACAATTTTCGCTTTTACACTCACACGGCTTGACATTGGTGTAAATAATAACGATAATGATCAGGTGGTGACGAAGTATTTTGCGATACTGCAGGTCTCTATTTTTTTATAATATTTTTAATATATTCATTTGATATCAAATTTTTATTGATGCAGAGGAATATCTCTTACAATTTTGAGGTTACCGGTTTGATCAGCAGAAAGTCAGCTGTTTGATAATTTGTAACTGGACACAGCTGATCTTAATTATTCGGTATTAATTGGCCCTTAATAAACAGCTGGGTATAGTTAATCGCATACCTTTATAAGAAATATTTTTATCCCACGCTTAAAACCTACATGTATTAAATTTGAAATGCTTATACGTGTTACGTTTCTATTTCATAATAGGGATAATATGAAGTAAGTGTTTGCTAATAAGATTCTTTGACATCTACAGAACCCGAATCGATTAATTTTATTTTAAAAGTCTGCACCCTTCAATTCATTAGATTCTTCATCCAAGATTTTTGTATTTATATCCATTTGGGCATTTATAAGTAAACCTGACCTATATAATAATTAGAAAATTGAATAAAGTTTACTTTTTGATAGCGGGCTTAGTAAACGTGTATTATAACGCTACAAAATACTTTAGCTAATAACGTACAGATATACTGGAAGCAAAGGAGTAAATGTCTTAAATAGGCTTACGTTCTATAATTATGATGAGATTGAGAATGCATCGACTTGTTTTCTAAAGGAAACAAAGGTTCTTGCTGTGAGATTTCGAAATTTTCTATTACACCTGTAGGAAAGTAAATAGATGGATATGTTTATATAATTTTCTCTTGAGTTAAGTTATAGTCAATTTTGAATAGTGTTGTATTATATTTCCAATTACTCATTACGAAAGCACAATGTAATATCTAAGAAGTACATGTAACAGTAAGAAATACACCAAATTTAGGTATCATTATAATCTGCACTACACAATAGTTTTGAATTTTTTATCAACATAAGGTAACATAAGCTGCGTGTGGTACCTAATCCAATTTCCCAAGCACTAACAATGTTATACTACTTCCTAATTGATACTAAAACTAGTTACGAAGTATTAATATTCAAAGTTGTTTAATCATTTTAACAAATTCCCGCTCCACGCACGCTTGCTCATTCCTTTAAAAGGGTATCCAAGGTGGGGAAAACTTTGAGAATTTCACAAAAGGCGAGGTGAGTGCAATCTAAGTAAAAGCCCTCCTGTTATAATACTGGCGAAGCAATTATAAATGCAGCCTTATTAGCACTCAGCGCTTTCAGTTTAATTGAAACATTATCAATCCTCTCTTTCAGTGAAATATCATTATTGCTAATTACAACGATAATTGAAAGAGACTTTAAGTTATGAAACCTTCTTGTTAAGTACTGTCGGAACATACAGGATAAAAATATGCTGTAATATAAAATACTTTATCCTAAGTAATTTGACTAAAGACATTTATATCAATTTTTACTCCGTTCTATTTTAGAGTTTATTACCAGATGTTTTCTTGATTTGTAATTGCTCAACACTTTGCAATAGTGATTTAAGCCTTAACAATTGATGTGCATCATAACAAAAATTATGTTTTTTTATCCGGTGTCCATAATAACGTATCCAGTGTATGTAATGAACCATCAATGAACCAGTAATGCAAGCTAGACATGTTGTACTACAAATTATATCGCAGCTGTTTCATTAAACGGAAAACAATTAAAATCTCAATTTGTTAATTTGAATTTCAAATTGCACAATATAACAATGTTACTTTCCTAACAACATATGCTTCTAAGCAGTTAACAATCTTTTATTCAGTTATCATGACACACTTGGATCAAGCAAATCATTCTAATCGTCATGATTTATGAATGTAATCATACATGAATGAATAATGTCCAGATGATGTAGGCTGAATAGTTAACTAAGCGGTTATCAAACATCACACACGGAATATACTGTTGCTGAATAAAGAGAGAAAATTATTTTTAAAACCAAAGTAATATAAAACAAAGTCACATTTGAACAATTTTTGTTTTTCCTCGCCGTCTTTTAATTTAACCAGGCTAATACCATTGACTATATCCATAGTCAATGCTAATACTCACTACCGCTATAAAACCCTGGCATATACACGAGTGAATCGTTAAAAGGTGTTTATTGATCATATCATCTCCTTTTAGTTTTGCGAATACCTTATATTTATGTACATTTACCCAAAAAACTGTTCAAATAGAACTAACATGACATTTCACTAGAGTCATTTTTGCAAAATTATAGTTTGTTTGAAATTATTTTACCTATAATTTTACGCCCTCTTTCTGTGAAACCTTCAGCCTGATTTTAAGACAATTAGAGCTGTATAATATTAAATATAACAATCTTAAATAATTTAATAATTAATTATAATGATCTTAAATATTTTTGTATGCAACATTAAGGATGGTATATTTTTTTACTATATTATGTTCTCTAAAAAGTTCAAAGTTTAAAATCTGAACTCAATACTAAAATCTATAAAAGGACATGTATGGTGTTTCGATGAACTGTTCTATTAACCATTATCATATTTTATTGGTAAATGTGTTTACATGTTTTCTGACAGAAGTGTTATTTGTCTACAGTACCACCCAGCATCAGACCGTCGCCTTCCAACGGTCAACTCACTGCCAGAAAGGGAGGGACGATCACATTGGAGTGTAAACCTTCCGGCAACCCGGTACCTACCATTATATGGACTAGGAAGGTAAGAAACCCTCTCTCATGTTTTCCAGTTTTGTATACACACACACGCACACACTGTATCGTGTAGTGTGCCTCTGTTGTTAATAAATAAATGTACGAGGAGTTAAATTGTACCGATTCAAGTAATATTTATTATGTTTGTTTCTTATAATAATAAATATTATCTATTGGCTATTGAGATGGGGACGTCACATATGTAAATAACCCAAATATGAGCAAAGGTTGAGTGTTATTTCTAGTAGTAAATCTAAAGTTTATTCACTAAATGCTTGTTTACTTTCTGTTGTAATAAATCGTTTTGTTATGGTAAGAAATCAATTAAGCTATTACTTCACTAAAAGGAAATACACTAGAGAAAGCATTGGGGTGGTCAAGTTTTGAACATGAATTAAAGCGATTATTTTTCAGAAAAATCTGCCAAAAACTATTTTGGATAAAATGATGGTTTGACTTTGTGATTATAATTGGATTGTAATCAAAGATTTGTAGTATTGTTCAATTAATCCATTTACTCAGGACTTAATTTTACGAGAATGTTGAAGTAAGATCAAGTAACATTTGCCCTATCTTTTAAAATAAAAACACAGCAAATAATACTAATATTATTAATACGGTAGTGTAAATAACATATTCCTTATTATTCTAGAAGTTAAATACCTTATTCTTGCCACTGTAATCCTCTGTCGTCTGGATGGTGACCGGGTTCGACATTCATAGTGTCATTGTCAAGCCTTAACGACGTGTTGTCGCTCCTAGGAGGTCGTCATAAAGTCTTGAAAACAAATTCAATATGTTTGTGCGAGTCTCGTGTTTTGTTTTCAAGACTTTATATTTGTTGACGACCTCCTAGGAGCAACAACACGTCTTTAAGGCTTGACAATGACACCATGAGTGTCGAACCCGGTCACCATCCAGACGACAGAAGATTACAGTGACAGCAATAAGGTATTTAACCTCTAGAATAATATTTTTTAGTAATCCGAAAGGCAACACTTTAAAAATTAACATATTCCTAGTTTCACAAGTCTCATAACAGATTCGGATATTTTTTCTAAAATAGTAGTTTTCATATTCTATAAATAAACGTTTATAAAATGTCCACATTTTACGCAAACACACACCCTTAAACCATTAACTCTTTTTTACCCTACAATGCAAATGCACAATTAAAATATTCTTTAGAGAAAGTACAACAAAGTTTAATAAAGTGTTCCACTTTACAACGATGGGAGGAGCATCAGGCTGCCTAATGAACGAAGTCTATTGTGTATTCAACTGAACAAGAACAATCCCTTTGTTTTGTGTCTCCGCTTAAAATACTTCATTTACAAAACTCTTTTCAAGCTTTAATAATAAATCTAATGTCTGTTTAGTAATTTTTCTTTTGATGTTCTCTCCTATTATGATTTGTCTGAGGGATCGTTATTCCAATCATTTCTTCGAATCTCTTTTTGAATTTTTTCACGTTGAATATTGACTATAGCCTACAAACAAACGTAAAATGATTTTCGAATTTATATTCCACTTGGGGATCCTTTCAATTAATAGTAAGAGTAACGAACTCTAGTAATTTAATTCAAAGAAACTAGGCGAATCTCTAAAAGAATTAAATAACATGTTTTACGAGTTCATGGTGTTTTGATACAAGTTGCGAAGGAAATAAAATGTTTGTTTAACACGTAAGAAGAGTACAGTAATATAATATTAGTTTTAAACTAACTTCAAATATACGACACTTTACTTATATCAGTTTTAATAAAACAATGATTTAACCTCTTACTTCATCCCACCTAATAACTTTCGACTATTTAAAACTACATATGCCATAGGTTCCGCATTAGGTAGTTTCCCACAGATTTGATAAGTTTTAGATGTTCACTGTACATCACAGTTTGTAAATTGTTATAATTACTTTTCCATAAACTGAATGTTGTCTGTGTCTTCTCCAGGACAACTCGCTACCGACGGGTGAGAAGTCTGTGGAAGGTTTTACCATCACTTTAGACAAGGTGGATCGTCATCAGGCAGGAGTGTACCAGTGTACGGCACAGAATGGGGTTGGGGATCCAGTCACTGTAGATATGCAACTGGACGTGTTGTGTGAGTATAACTGCTTTAGATCCATCTTGTTTTGTAAAAAAATTGGGAAGTAACAGAAACTAAAGTTCTTAAGAAGTGTTAGTAAGTATAGCCCTCTTGATAGGATCCTCATTGTGACGACTCATTTTTTAGTATTTTTTCTTACCAATAACATATTGCCTCTAAAGTACTTAAGCCCAGGGCAATATCCTCTTACTTTACTGATGATCAATTGTTTCGAAGATGCAATGCTTTTCTTAAAAAGGTTCATGTTTTCCTTGAAAATAAATATAGCTTTTAAAACATACATTCTAATCTTGTATTAATTAATTACTGTAGTTTGTTATGAAGTAACATATTGAGAAAATATGCTTAATCACAGTATTATTAGTGTTACTGTTTACGAAAATATTGAAAATACATATCATAAATACTCCTTAATTATAGCCTAATGTTATAAACTCTTAACGAAATAAATTTATACATAAAATAATTATTACGATACAATACTTTTCAATATTAATAATTTACAGAAACATCGTTTATTCAATAACGCCGAATGAAAGGACAGATGTTTATTATGCATTATTAGACGATAATTAGATAACGCGTGGTCGTAATCTGTTTAAATATTAATCACTTATGGAATACGCATTCATTGATCTTTATTACAATTACTGGAACGTTTAGCAATCTACATATTTTATGTACACATGGATTACCCTCATTTATGTTCTATTAGCACCATTAATTTAGTAGTTTTGCATTTAGCCATCGTAAATACAGCAAGCTCATTTAAGTATTGGCCTCTACAGGGTAAATAAACTCATTATAAAAAACTAACTGTTTTAGTAATTTCATCTCCCTGTATTTAAGTAGCTTCGTGGTAATGGTAAAAGTGGTTTCGTGAAATAACAGTTTTATTGAACTGTTATAACAGGTGTCTAAATAATAACTGATCAATAGTAAACTGGCATAAAACTTAATTAATAAACATAAAAAGTTAACTAACTTTATATAAAATGTTTTTAATAACTACCTAAGTTTTTTGTGTCATCGTTTCACCACCACCACTCTACACTTTCTCCCTTATTCGCTCGAAGAATGTTCCAGCTCTGTCCACACATTGTGGCCCATTTTGTTAGATAGTTTCTAAAGCCCTTACATTTGGTTTAATTTCATCTATGTTTGAGATCGGCAAAAGATAGACACACTTGATCTTTCACAAAACCCCCAGACAAAAAAATAAACCACGGATATTGTCTCTATAAAACATCCAATACACTGTGCTTTCAACTGCAACTCCATAGTATAACTTTTTTTTTCAAAATTCGTTTTTTTTTCAATGTTCAAACCTGCTAACAACAATGGAACAGCTGATTACTGTTGAAGGGTACAACCAAACTTAAACATTACACCTTTAAAATTAGTGATAGTTGACTTTTCTACGAACGGTAATAACACCTATATTAAGCTATACATTTGACTTATTCTTTTTGGGACACTGTGTACCTGTTTCATTAAACTTAAATCCAGGAAAAATCTGCAATTAATATTTTTCCAAGAGTATTACCTACCAAGAATTTAAAAGTTTCAAGGGCAGTGTGGTTTTTACCAAATGATCGTTTCATAAGTAAAGATTTAAACTATTTTAACTTTTATTTTATCTATAAAAGAAAGAAGTCTATAGTCAAACTTATTTCCTTTTACTCACGTAAACGTTTGTGAATGTGAATTAACTTATCTTCTCCTATAAACAAACTTTCTACTAAAATATTAAGTCATCAATCTTTGCTTACGTTTTACATTGGAGTGACTTATATACAAGATTTGTAGACCTTTTACAGCATTTTTACTACAATAGTCAGCTTACATTTAAAAATGAAAAACCAAAGTTTTATCATAACAACAATCGTTTAATAGTTTCAAACTATATACTCGTATTAAAAGGGGATTTTGCCACTGTCTTTAAATAAAACAAATTTACTTAAACATTGCCCAAGGTTCAAATAAAGCATCTTTCTGAACAATATCCAGCTTTATTACCTTTGTAATTTCCCTCAGGATTCTGCCTTGAAGTCTCAATGATATTAAATAGAACGTCGGTTCACTTTACATGTTTTGTTAATAATAAGTATTCTGTTCATTCTAGGATACTCTAGTTACCCTTAAATAGTTGTAGGTAACCTTAATAGCTTTAGGTAAAAATGCAATTGGCTTCATCCCCAGCATACTACCAAATACTTCCAGGGCACCTTCTTCTTGTATGGGGTAGATGTTTCATTATAAAGTATTCATGCTATTTACACTGTTCGAACTAAAACGTTAACACATAGAAGTTATAAACCGTTTATAATGTATACACTTTGTTTAAATGTGTTTTGTTTAAACAATGATAATCTGAATTACTTGTTAAGTCATTGTCCAAGACAATGTAAGTCGAGAATCCGGAAATGGAAATGATTTCACTGAACTGGAGGTCAAAAATCTGGTGGAAAAAGTGAAACGAGGAAAGTTTCTAGATGTGCTTTCAATGGAATATACACATTCAGTACTGTACATCCACTGATAGTAATGTATTAATTACAGCTGTTTTCCATTAGATGGCGAAAGTAAGCAAACGTATTAAAGCAATGTTAAAAGTTATCAAATTCCCATTAAATATTGTAATGTGGCCAAGATGAAAGGTGTATTAAACCAGTGCATTAGGATTAATTCAATTTAAATATTCTGTAGTTTATGAAACAACATAAATTCAAACACTGCTTTAGGATCTTTCAATGTGTTTTTCTCGTTTATCTTACCTGGACCTCTTCATTGTTTCAGACCCACCAGAGATTGAAGTTGAGCGAAGTTGGGTTCACTCAGGAGAAGGATACGAAGCTCAACTAGTCTGCATAGTTCATGGAGAGCCTGCCCCTAATGTAAGTTATCTTTAAAGTACTTGTACAGAATCTTTTTCTATATTTTTATGATCGTGCAGATTTATTCTTTTTTTGTTTATTTGTGGAATTTATATCAAATATATGTATGATAATGTGCAATAAAATTGAAACACAAAAAGAAAAAAAAACTTAAAAAAACCTATTGTTGTAAAATGTTGTAGAGGTTTAAAATTGTTTACTATAAAGAGCCTTGTATCACACGATAGTTCATAGGTAGCTGATGAAAAAAATTACGCTGGTTTGACCTTCGTGCAATCTTTGATCGGTCTAGTCACCGTCACCGAAACCTAAGCATACGACGAAACTTGAATGTAACAAAATATAACAATAATAAGTCAAACTACCGTCCTATTAAGGTGATTTCTTGAGTTTTATTTTCGACTAACATCTTGTAATAGGTGTAAGACCTATTCGAGGAAATTGTTCTATCATAGTTTATTGTTTTAAAAATTAACTATATCCATCATAAATAAAATACTTCTCTCATTTAATAGCAACAATTTAAAATAACCTATTTCCATGATCAAAGCACTAAGTGATCATAGTAAATTCTTTTGATGCTTCGTTTTCAAACAAAGGCTGTTTATTTGTGACCATATTCTTCGGATTGTTAATGTACTAAATTTAAGAAAAAAGGTATGTTACTTTTAGGTTTATTTGTAATACTAGAACTATTACTAAGACAATTAGATAAAACCTTACACACATCAGACCACGATAAAATCACCTTGTCAACAATTTCTGTACGAAACCGATTCTAAAATATACATATATTAGAGAAGATAAAATAAGCATTTAAGAAAGATGGTTTTAAGGTTCCTCGTAACATTAAAGCCATATTCCTAATACATCTGTAGTGGAGTTTGCTCGTAATATTAAATTGATATTTCTAATACATCTTAGAGCGAATGTATGAGTGGAGTGAGCTCGTCGGTTCAGCATCCTAAAACCTCCCCAACCTCGCCAATTAATTAAGGGTTCCAAGCAAATTGAAATATTTGTGTTTCATGTCTGAAACGTTTTAAGCTGATGACTCACTCCCACGTTTCATTCCGATATTGTTCTAAATATCAAAATGCACACGCCCAAGATAGCAAATGTTTATTTTTGATGACGATTGCTTCAAAGCTATAGTAATGACAAGAGTTTGACAAAGGGCAACTGTTTTGTATTTATAAATAGTTATGTGGTAGGAGTGCACTTTGAGTTATAAGAGTAGGTAGTATTGATGAAACATAAGCTATTTCATCATGTATAAATAGGGTGATAACAATTTAAAAGTATGTTTAACTTTAACCGTTCTTCATTTATAGGTTGTTTTGTTAATTTTGAAATATTCGTGACAAAAGTAAATGGTGTTACTGTAGTTTGACTACAACGAATCCCGTTCTTCTATTATGTAATATAACTTTGTGACATCATTAAGCTGTTGCATTATATTATGCCGCTTTATAGTAAAAAAAAATTGAGATCAATGTTATTTAAACGTATCAAGTGAATTTTATTTTACTTGTTATTTTCTATTGAGACGTTAAAAAACCTTCTTTTTTATTTTACAATGATGAATTTAAGATATTGGATTGAACTGAATGTAAAAAATAAATGTTTTATATTATTTTGGCAAAAATAAAAAATAAACTTATTTCAATTTATTGTTTCACAGTGGTTTCTCACAAGGTATCACAAAATATGGTTCAGTACGTTATGTAAGCTTTTGTTGAGAAAAATCACATTGTGCACCTTGTAATCATTTATTAAATAGGAGTTTTCACTTGTAGGCATATTTTTTGTATTCTTTCTTTGTAAGAGTTCGCCTGTAAGCTGATTTAAACGTTTGAAAAATCTTCCGGTTATAATATCGAAAACTGTTGATTGTTTAGTTTGTTTAATGGCTTTTAAAAGCACCCAAGTGAATATTCCTCACAAGTAAGTGGTGAGACTCAGATTCTTTGATCAGTAATGAAACACTTTTTTTTTAGTAAATCAAACAAAACGGATATTTTCCGTTTGCCTTGATGAAAAGCGCGGGCAACTCTACTACGCTATTGGCCGACTCGGTGGTGGACATGCTCACAGGTGTAGCGAGCATGCATTATACATGCTCGTAGCTGTTAATGGCTCGAGCGAGCAACTCATAAATTACTGGATGGCCACAAATCCATCACCTTGTCTCCCAATACTAACAAGCCCAAGTGTTGAATGACCTCACTTGATTGGCTCTCCGAGTATTGTGTATTTTCCTACTTGGCTCGATGGTTGTTTTACTAAAAAGTGCTTGTGTTTGAATTGTAGAGGAATAATGATTTAGTAGTTTTTCCTTTAAGTAAATTGATTTAAAATGTGTTTAATATTGTCAAATATTTTTTTTTATCACATAAAAATACGATATGAGTTGTTTTAATACTGTATGAGCGTTTTTGAACCAGAACATATCTGTGAATATCAAATCTATAATTGTTTTAGTGAATACTGTTATAAAATCTATTGTTAGGTACCTAAAGCTTTTTCATTTTATTAAGATAACATATTTAAGAATAGTGAGTAAATTAATTTACCTACATTTTTACGAACAAGTAAGTTAGTAAGGTTTTTAGGTAGTGTGGTTTAAAAAAATGTATACAAACAGCAGTTTTGTAATCACGAATATTCTACTTTCTAAACCGCCTTTACTATTTCGCAACTTTAACCATAAATAAGCCACGAAACCTTAATATTTGCCTCTTTTATGTAGTTAACTGATTAATAACATTATATTATGTACATAAAGGTATCTTACATTTAAGTACCCCCACCCCAACTTAAATAATCCCTTAAATAATCCCGCACTGAGTTAATATAGCCTACATAGTTAAAATACAATAGTGATTCTATGTTTACTGTTTTGAGGGACACAAAAGCTAAATAGATCTCGGATTGGAGATGTTGGATAAAATATTAGGCCACTTGGGGTTGAACTTCTAGTATCAGGTCTGGAAAAAATACTCGGTTTATAATGAAACGACTACCTTTATGCTGATATGCAATTTTATTTGTAGAAACGGTGCATATCATATGGTTTCGAACTGTTCCGAAAGATTACTGGTATTTTATATAGTAAAAAAATAAGATCTACTGTCACAAGAATAACATTTACGATGACGTATGATCATATTTACATTTGAAAATTATAGTTATTTAATTTATTTATAATTAAAGTAAATAATCGTGAAATTAAATTTAAAGTAACTGATGTACCTGAGGGTCTTTATTTTCAAAAACAAAAAAATATTTGCTAGATTATTTTCTCTTGGGTCTCCAATAAAGTAAAGTCTAGATTTTCTCCGTTACTGAGAGAGAACCAATAAAATATTCTAAGTTCTCTTACCTGGAAAATTCTTATTGGAAAATGTAAATTAATCCGACGCTAAAGTTTTAAATTTATGCCAAACTATCTGCCGACTCTTTGCACCGGGCTGCTTAGAATTGTTTGCGCTGGATTAGGTTTCGTTTAATTGATACTGTATACTCGGTATTATTTGTTACAGAAAATCAAATTGGTATGTAAATTTCTTTGCTCTGAGGTGTGTATTGATCTGTACTCTTTACATTAATTAATGAACATTTATACATACATTTATACAACATGCATACATTAGTTCATGGACGTATATGGTAATTTAAATTTCCCAAAACTTGTATTGCAGAAAGTCTTTAATGCAAATCAAAGATTTCTTGGGGCTAGGACATTTATTTTCCATGCCACTGCATTGAAATAATTGACATACCTAAATTATCAGCTCTAAACAATACGCAAAATAGCTGATTGCCACTTTATTTAATCTCAGCTGAAGCTTCGTGCGGCAATGACGTACTTTGCGTCTAAATATACAAATAGCTATTTCCAATTAAGCTTTTGAGATATCTTTAATGTCGAAATCCAAGACACAACATTCGTTATACAATTTTTATTCCATCCGAACCTAATCCACGGTAAGAATTCTGTACTGTAAAACTAATCTCTAAAGATAGTTTTAAAATTGTTTCCACTAATCGTTAAGTTCCTAACACAAACGTAAAATTAATTACCTCAGTGAGCTTTCAGAGGCCGTCAAAGGAAAGGTAAAGAGTTAGCGAATATTTCCACATCGTTAGTTAGAGTTTCCAGATAAGTAATTGAATCGCCTGGAGCAAATAGAATACCTCCGACGTTAATGTAGTTGCTTCTCTTTAGCGAGAAATCAAGTGGAATAATGTATCGCATCACTGAATACTAACGAAAAGATGATTATTTATGTATGTATAATATACAGTAACCTAATAGTTATAATGTATAATATAGTTCATTCCCGAGTATTTTACTTTAATTTTAAGGTGATCAAGCGGGTAAGATGCTTTATTTCAAATATTCCAGTTTATTTCATAAATGATATATTTCTGTTTACCATTAGTCAGAGATAAAGTTATGATTTTCCACAATTAAATAGGTCACCGATGTATAAAAGTCGATATTCAATAATTATATTGGGGGGGGGCTATCAAATACACGACGAATCTACAGGACGGTCCACGAGAGTCTGTAGTGGAGGGATGAGCTTATTTCCCACGTGACTTCGTATTAACTAATGAGGACAGTGCGGTGTTGACAAATCTAATAATACTAGCTGATTTAAGACTATTGTTTAGTATATTTTAATTAGTGTCGAGAATTAGTGAATGGGCGATGCTGCAACATTGCTCTAGTCCAGTCTTGCTATTGGCTGAAGCCAACTGCAGACTCTCGTTGTCCCTAGTATAATCATAAGGGCACATACACTGAAGCTATAACTGTACGAGGTAATGCATTCAATCATAGTACACTCCTTGTGTGTGCGTATTTTTAAGCTTATAGATTTGTTGTTTGCTCCTGTTCCTGCATTTTTTGAATACGAGTAAGCCAATCATAGCAGATTTTAACCATCGAAACGAGCATTGACTGATAAATAAAGTTTGCAAACATCATACGTATAACTCAATACATTTGTAGTGCGTCAAATGTAAATATGGATAAAACTTTGCAGTTTGTTTCTACTGCGTCTAATATCATGTAAGGCAAAATCAAAGTTGGATAATCCACAAAGAGGGATCACGGTAGTTAAGCAAACATGATCTTCAGCTACCAAACTTACACCTCCTGAGAGAACATGTGATTTACACTTTTACCTGCCCCTCCCAACATCTCTCACGCTGTGATGTAAAATCTAATCTTGCTGAACGATAAAGTGCTGTCAACAGTAGCACACTCTTTTATGAGAATCTTTGTATGTAAAAGCTGTCGATAATATTGGAGACAAAATGACACAATTTCACTAAACAGAAGTGATATCCACCGAAAATTTATTGATAATAAATAACTTGTAATTTGTTGTTTATTCATTCGTTTAGATATTTAAACAACTTTAATATTTGTACGAAAGTACTACCGTACCTATCATTATGTAAGTTTTAAGGGTTAAAGAAATACACTGCTTCTTCCAAGAACCCGTCCGTTTGGGAGATGCAAAAACCTAACTTTTATAACCACAACTGGCTATTCAAGGCACACCTTATTGTTATAGATGATCTGGTACCAAGACAGCTTCCTCCTGGACCCCACAGAACGTCGCACCATGGAGACCCGCGCTAACCGTCACACACTCACCATCAGGAACGTCCAGAGTTCAGACTTCGGCAACTACAGTTGTGTGGCGGATAACTCTCTCGGCCGTGCCAAGAAGTACATGGAGCTCTCAGGTAATTATTGTATAACTCTATACTACAGCTACAAAGTTTCAAGTTGAGGAAAATGTCATTTAAAGATATTTAATGGCTAGTGTTTCTCCCAGATTGACAGGACTCAACCGATGGTATTTTCAATAGATTCAAACCACCTTTTTTATTTCCTATCCCTTAGGTCTAGTAGATTTAGGGTCAATGTCCTCATAACGTTTGCATCGTTTGCGTATCCCAAAATCGTTTACTAACTGTTAAAAAAATACTACCAAAATAAAATCTTTTTTCCATTAATGTTTTACTGTTAATGAATCAAGTTATTCGTGATACTTAACACAGCAATTTTTATTTTTGATTCAGGAAAGCCCAGTCCGGCCGAGTTCAGATCAGCTCCATTCTCCAGAGCCAAGGACAGCTACAATCTAACATGGATGGTAGAAAGTTACCCTCCTCTAGAAGAGGTCAGAGTACTCTATAGAAAAGTAATGGTAAGTTGAATTTGTAATCACTATATTATTTTTATTTGTTTGCATTATTTTGAATACACTACCTCTCCGTTACACACTATGGAATTGTTGGTTTACATTTTTTTTTTACTTTAAGCTTTTTTATAAACAAGATATTAACTTAGATAAACAATGTTTTACCTAGCACAAAGTCAAAAACACCTACATCTAGTGCCTTAAACCTATCTTGCTACAATTCTATGTGTAACACAGGTTATTAACCTTACACCTTTTACTCCGTTCTGGAAGTTTCAATCACATTAACTCACTTGCAGGAAATACTGCGAACCTTAAATCGATTTCTTTCAATTATGTTAGGTAATTAAGAAAATGTCATCCTTGTGTAAATTGAAATACTACCATCATGGTATATTTTGGTGACCGGGGCTGTAACCAAGTGTTCAATAAAAATAACTACAGTGTAAAGTTAACCAGATTTTTAACTATTACAAAATAATCCAAACGTTTATAAAAAAATATTGGTGACTAATCGTCACACTGTCCAGCATTTTTGTCAGTACTTATAATACTGAGCAACGTGATTAGTTTTTATACGGGTGGTTGTTGTACAGCCTTACGTCGACTGCTAAGATACACATTTCACAAAGCGTATCACCAACATTCGACCAATATCTAAATGTTAAATACACCCAGGTGACTTCTCAATTCACAACAAATACTCCTCTGTTGTAGATGAACGACACCCACTCCAACCACGGCAAGTGGCACGATGTGATGTTGACGCCCACTAACGGAGAGACGTTCTCACATCTCATGTCGTACAACATCAGAGGCCTGGAGCCGGCCTCCGTGTACGAGGCCATTGTACAGGCCAAGAACCGCTATGGCTGGAGTGAAGTGGCCGACGCCTACCAGTTCTTCACCAGGGGCCCTGGTCAAGAGACTTACGGTGAGTTTCAAAGGGCATGTATTAATTGCACCAGTTCCTTAATTGCGCCAAGCCCTTAAAGGGTCCCCAAAATTGTTCCTTAGTTGCGCCAAGCTCCAAGTAGGGGTGAGTTGCCGACAGAACGAATGTCCTTGTTTACGTGTCATCCTAACCTATCTTATCCTAACCTAACCTAACTTAACCTAACTTAACCGAACCTAACCTACTCAAGTATACAGTCAGAGAGGGGGCCGCCAGCTAATGATTTGTAAAAAAAAAAACATAAAATCTGTTCATTTAACGGTTGAAAAAAAGAAAACTGTATAATATTACGCGGACCATCGACTATTGTTTGTATTACTACTAAAGATAGAATACACTATTGTATTAATAGCTGTGTGTTATTTTGTAGCATCCCTATGTGTAGTTTACTATTCAGTAATTAATAGTCACACGCAAAATACACAACAGTAATTTTCTTCGTTTTTAAAGCCCATTCAATTATTTTATATATTACTGTTTTAGATTAACTTAAAAAACCTGATCAAGAAGTTATTAACTTAAAATCACCATATTTATTTAAGAATTTTTTATATTTAAATAGGCCTAATGTAACAACTATGACTTTTTTCATAAATATATTGAGTCTTATATATTTTAATTACATAGAAAACACAGTTATTTATTTACAGGTTTACCTAAATTCACTAAATAATTGATAAATTAAAAAAACATTCACATACCAGATAACAACAAATATTCAAATAGGTAACATAACTTTATGTTTCGTTAAAACACTTTCAGGATCCGATTCTACCTAGTTAATTAATCCCCTCAACCATACTTTACTAGTAAATTCAATTGACCTGGTTACCACGAACAATCAACTAAAGTCAAAGATGGAGACATTAGAGTGAATCTCAAACAATAACACCATGAGGATGAACTGACTATGATAACGACTAAAGGCGATAAGAGTAGACTGTCTATAAGAGTAAAATCCCTCAGTCAACTGTTAATAAAACCGATAACGACTGAAACAATTGGCGAGATGGAAATTAGGCCTTACTGGACTGTAACTGCAGATATGCTGGGATAGCCTGGATAGTAGATAAACATAACACTAGCTTCAACATGACCTTAGCAATATCCTAACAGTTGTAATAGAAATTAACTGAGAAAATGTCTTGCTCCTTTGTTGGGGCGATATTATTGTATTATACCTACAATCTATTTTTACCCCTTTATTTTGGTCCCCTTTTAATTAATTGGGTTGTACAGAATAATTTATCTAACCATGCAAAAACTTTAAAATTTTGATTGGTTTTTAGCATTTAATATTGACAAATTTATAAATATTGCATGTGTATGTTATGTTGCATTACAATTAAAAATCATTACAGCTAATAAAAAATATATTCTTCTTTACAACATATATTTTATTACATAGTTTGTATGTGGAAACTTCCTATGTGTATGAAATATCGTATCAATGTCTCTACTCGCTTATGGATTGTACTAAATTTAGAATTTTAATTGAATCGTCTAGAAAAATACATTTTTAACAGTTATTTCAAAATTACGCGTACCTTCTTAATAGTATCTGGTAATTTTTCGCTACATAGACAACGTGATCTACGGTTCCCTCATGAGAAACGACTAAACTTTAAATTCCATCTATTATTTACAACTGTTTTCATTGTGCCAGATGTCTCGGTACTAAATCTATATTAAACAGCAGTTATTAAACAACTACCCTGGTCCCCCGGGCTAAAGGATTACCAGAAACCGAAGTCTTCGTCCCTTGGCACTAGGACCTCCCTCTCTTTATCCCCCCCCCCCTTCACAACCCCCCCCCAATCTCTCTGTCTCTCTCACTCTGATGGGAGAGTTGGTCACCCCTGGCAGGTTGCTCTCCAGATTGGTATTTACATAGGCTTATCCCTACTGTTGATTCTAGCCTGGTGTAGATTGGAGATTTCCATTGACAGAATCTGTGAAAATATTGAAACTGTAATACACACAGGTCCTCTGTTTCGCAACCAATGTTTGTCGGTTTGAGAAGTGATTTACTTTATTTCATGCTGGAATTTCGTTTACATTCATTTTTTTTTATATCGAGTTTTTATGTCAGAATGATGTGGGTTGTGGTTTATAACTTCACTATATGATTGTCGCTGTTGGATTTATTGTAGTGTTTAAACTTTATTGCGTGTGACAGAATGTTAATTATTCTTTCAGGACGTATCCGTTTGCCTTTTTGGAGTTATTACATTTATTTTGGAAAATGGACTAATAGTTTAAACACTTAAGTGGCGCCAGACTGTCTGATGTATTTGTCATTGGCCCAATTCGAGCTTTCTACTTACAAAGGGTACAAGATCGAGTTTACATATATTTTTTAAAATATTTATTTATTTACTAACAAAAACTTGTTTTACAGATTATCCCTCAGAACCCAATATGGAGGACATGGAGCTGATAGCTTCAGCCAATCACAGCTCGAGTATTCAACTGTCGTCATTGTTGGCTAGTCTTTTACTGATGATCGTCCTTTTATAGGATATAGTAAGTAAAATCTGTTATATCTATTTTTAATGATCAAGCTACACATTTCTTATCTTGCAAAAAGATTTTTACCAAAACAATATAATGGATGTAAGCGGGAATTATTTTTTAGTAAATAAGCAGAGAATTAAACAAATATTGGCTTCTTACTGTGCACTGAGTATTGTTCAATATTAAATTGAACAATTAAACATTACACAATTAAACAATTATTTTAGTAGGAATCAAGTATTCTGTATATTGTTCAGCATGAATATTTGAGGGTTTAATATACAGGGTGTTCATTTGAAAACTTTCCATATCTGTTGTGTGCAAAGGTAAGTCTTTTAACACTTGTTTGTTCTCATTTCCACCTAATTTGGACATGCCAAATCCAATAAAATTATTTTCAATTTTGAAAAATGCCCCAAAAGGGCCCAATTTGGGGGGTAGGGGTGCTTTTTGAGAAATTTTCAAATGTAAACATGGGTTGTGTGATACATCAATTTAAAGGTCTAATCACCCCAATCATTTTGGTGCAAAAAAAGTTTAATTATCTTTAACCGTATTTACAGGGTGGGTCAAAACGTTTTAAAAAATGACTTTGAAGTTAAGTACCGTATTACCCTAAATACTGAATGGAACAGCGCCAAATTTCTTTCCAAGCTTATTCTTGAGCTACTCTTTAAGATAACTTGTAGTAAGGGCATTTTCCAAATTATTTTCTAATTTAAAAAAAATCTCAAATTTTAAGAATAAAAGAAAGCTGAAAACTCAAAATTCTTAAATAGCAATGTATAACAACTTTCATTCCACAAGAAAGGTAATTTTTTAACAAACATTTTACGTATTTAAGTTTTCTTTCTATCTCTTACCGTTTAAAAATTGCAGTGGAAAAACATAATTTTCTATGGTAAAATTATAACTAGTTTTCTAATAAAACACATTGCACTTTGTTCAATGATGTAGTAGGATTCATAACAAATTCATCGACTACTTTTACGTGTGTCAGAATTCTTCTTGGACCCTTCCTGTTCTTTTCTCATTGGTAACTGAGCCAGTTTCAGAAAACTTCCTAACTAAATCATTTACAGCCATATGACTCAAGGTTATACCTGGATATCTATTGTTAAACACTTTGCAGTTATCCTAGAACACTTTTGTTATGACCAATAAGTAAAATTAAAGTCTATTTTTTTAAGTTTACACCATATTTGATTAGGTACAACAGGAAATGGTAGTTTTGAAATTAGTACTACCATTGACTAGTCTATGGTACTACAGAAAGCGGCCCACGCTTGGGTTTTTCTCATCAGCTATAAAACTTGTTTTTCACAAAGTAAAACGTAATGACTTGTTTGCCTATCTGCCTAAAAGTAATTATGAATTGTTTCCTTCAGTTATTGCACCATTTAATGTGTCTAGAGACGAATTTTGGCTGTTTTATTAGAAAACTAGTTACAATTTTACCATAGAATATTATGTTTTTCCACTGCAGTTTTTAAACGGTAAGAGATAGAAAGAAAACTTAAATACGTAAAATGTTTGTTAAAAAAAGACCTTTCACGTGGTATGAAATTTGTTATACCTTCCTATTTAAGAATTTTGAGTTTTCAGCTTTCTTTTATTCTTAAAATTTGAGATTTTTTAAAAATTAGGAAATAACTTGAAAAATGCCCTTACTACAAGTTATCTTAAAGAGTAGCTCAAGAATAAGCTTGGAAAGAAATTTGGCGCTGTTACAATCAGTAGTTAGGGTAATACGGCACTTAACTTCAAAGTCCTTTTTTAAAACGTTTTGACCCACCCTGTAAATACGGTTAAAGATAATTAAACTGTTTTTGCACTAAAATAATAGGGGTGATTAGACCTTTAAATTGATGCATCACACAACCCATGTTTACATTTGAAAATTTCTCAAAAAGCACCCCTACCCCCCAAATTGGGCCGTTTTGGGGCATTTTTCAAAATTGAAAATAATTTTATTGGATTTGGCATGTCCAAATTAGGGGGAAATGAGAACAAACAAGTGTTAAAAGCCTTACCTTTCCATACAACAGATATGGAAAGTTTTCAAATGAACACCCTGTATTGTAGAATGTACAGTACTCACATATGCCTAATTAATCGAGACATAATTTTATTCACAAAAGACACACCATGACACCATAATCAATTTTTTTCACATAAGATTTTAAAGAAAAATATTTTGCCCATGACGGATTATCGAAGTTTGAAGAGGTTCATTGTAAGGAGCACATGACCCGCATATCCTGTCCCTCTATTGTATGATTCCCTTGATCACCTTACCTCTGTTGTCCCCTCTTTGTCAGTCATATTAACGACATGTGAAACTAATATCGAGTCGGGATATCAATAATATTGGGGTCTAAAATATTATACATGAAGCAAATTGACATAGGCCTAGGCTTCGTAGTTTTAGAATGTAAAACAAATAAAGTACACATTAAAAAAGGATAGTGGGATTTTTACTCTCAATAAGGGTTTAAAGTCGTTCATATAAAAGAGTTATAAAATGTTCTTTTTCTTTTCCAGGCGGAGGAAAGTGAACGTTGGTTTGAACCTGCGAGGATGACTAAGAAAGACTATTTTTAATTACGATAAGTGAAATTTTGTGATAGTTAAGTGTATAAACTGTGTCTCCAGTCCTACCGACGCCATTTTGGTTCACTTTTTTGAAAAGTTACCTTTTATTAATATACTGTATTTATGCTTAAGTGTACATATTTGATTTATGTGTAAGTTTTGCCGGTTTAGTCACATGACGGGTGATTTCCGGAGAGTCAAGTTTAAAATGCTCGTAGATGTTAATTTTAATGTTTCGTATACGTATTTTTAGATGTTTTCATCTACGTTCTTCGCCATTTAATTTTTAGCTTCCAGTGCGTAGCGTGAACTAGAATGGCAGTGTGAAGTGTAGTTTTGTACATGAGACCAAAACTTTTATTTTATTATCGTGCGACTTAATATGGCCAGAAAACCTGATCAAAGTATAGACCTTTGTTCTCCGTATTTTTATATATAAGAAAACTACAAAATCAAAATAGAAAATACTAGACGGTTAGATTCACAGATTTTCTTGTGAATTATTGTACAACAATTTCTTCGTACAATTTAAGCGAGCTTTTAAAAGAAATTTTTATCATTTAATGACTGAACATTTATTACTTGTGCTTTTTTACGTTAAGAACTACTAAATAATTTAGGATCTAAGATGTTTTGTATATTTAGGCTTGTATATCTAACGTAGCTTGTAAACATTCTGTCAAGTTTCAAAAGCTTTTTGTAATTATGTATCTCAGGTTATTATTTAGTGTTTAGTTTTAGTTTTAATTTAAGAACAATTATTTCCAAACATTTTTTATCGACTTCTTTGTGTGCTCATTTTTTATTTTTATATAAACTTATTTGTGTGCTCATGTTCATTTTATAGTTTTTCCTCGAATTCCCAATTTTCATCCTAAGAATATGTATAAATGTCTGTTCACTCTTGTATATAAATGTCCAAAGTCTGTATTATAATTGAATAAACTTTTTTTGTATACATATTTGGTGTTTTATTATATAATTGTTGTGTTGGTAAACATCTAAATACCTAACTGACCCAACTTGTTCATTGTGTTATGTTTAATCTCTTTAGCTGCAAACAGGAACAAGCTAACTGTGTCCATGATAGAATGAAATTTGTAATCTGCAATATTCACGATGCTTGATAGTTTTTTTTATGCCGTAAGTAAAAGAATAAGAAAGTCAATATAAACATTCACAACTATATAGACACAGGGCCTTCTCGTCTTACTGTTTAAGAAAACTATTTTAAAGAGTTACACGCTGTTCTTTTAACCTTTTGGTATGATAAGTTGTATACATCGTTCAATATCTTTTACCTGAATAGTCATGTTTTTTTTTTTTTTTTTATTATTAGAACAGGAACAGTATGGATCATAAAAATAAATAAATTATCTCTGGCCTAAATATTATGCCAATAACCTAACCGGTTAGAAAGTTGTACTACAATTACATTTAAATATACAAATATATTTTTTTTGGGACAGTGAAGCCATTTGTTTATGTTAATGATCCTCACCATTTCTGTTCTAAAATATGTACTAAGCATTGAGCTCAAGAAAGATTAAAATTGTTCTAACTTGAAACTGTTATTTAAATTTAAGAAACAAATGTGTTTAAAAGTATACGTAAACTACTTAGTTATACTTGAATGGCATTCGCTTTCAATACGGTAAATATATGTATTTTTTCGTATTTTAATTCATTTACTGTACTAGATGTTAATGTTGCTCAAACGTGTTACTGAGTGGTTACTATTTTTAATCAATTAAAGAAGTACTGCAATACGGTAATTCCTAGTAATTATACACATTAAGTTACGTAAGAGGCTGTTTACATTATTTTGTTGTAACTGTTTTTTCTCTCTAATTCTACTGGTAACTAACTAAAACTAGCTTATCCCTAAAATTACACTAGGAATAAAATCAATTCCTTTTATCTCTCTCAAGATATTTACTGTTTTTCACACTTTTTAACTAACTAAGGTCTTCAAGAAAAAGCTTAAATCTAATTTTCATTACACGGTTTGTTAAATGTATTACTCTTTATTCAGTACACACATTTTTTACGTAACTTTTGTTCAAAAATTGTGTAATTACCTTCACGGTAGCGCAATGCAGCCTATGAATAAATAAGTCCATGTTTGCCGTGGTTTAATTAAAACATCTGTTGATTGGTCGAAAAACCTACGTTCCCTGTAGGAGATGAATACTCTAGTAGGTTCACAATTGTTGACAACTTGAGTTAAATTGACTTTAAAATTCTATTAAAAATATTTTTCCTAGTTGTGTCCTGTAAAATTATCCTTTTTAATATTCCAAGTTTATGGTAGTCTTTAAAATTCCATGCTTTCCAAGCCCAGTGATCAGCTCTTACTCTTATTTGTAAAAAAAAACAGACATTAGGTTAAAACCACAATACAAAATATTTAACACCAAACCAAATAAATAGTATATTGCCTTATACATATTTACATGATAATTTACTTACACTTAATAACCAAATGTTTACAAAACAAATACATGAAATTCCTATATAATCTTTACGGTCTCAAACAAATGTGATTTCTACAGAAAATGTTTGAGTTGTGCTACAACATGTTATTTTTGTACAATACGGTTTTGTGCATTTTATTTTAGTGTAGAGATGGTTTTCTAAAAATATGAAAAAGATTATTACCAAAACATAGTACCTATATATTTACATGAGATGAATACATGATACACTTCTCTCTCGCTTATATGCAATATAAATGTTTTACATGCTGAGTCGGTTACTTCTTTTAATCTATGGTTTAACTTATACTGGTTTTAAATTGCCAGCTGTTAGCAAATGTTATTATTACTGTGTATTAAAAATGCTTGATAATAATTAAACACATGTTAATTAATTTAACGAATTGTGGATATTTATAGGGATTTACTGTGGATGCGATGCTCCCTGGTGTGGATTAACGTCCGCACTAGTGAGTACTACGACTATCCGCAGTACTATCCTGATAATTAGACCAATTCGTAAATTACAAGGAAAAAATGTGGTTCGGATTCCACTATAAACTGTAGGTCCCTTAGTTGCCATTAGCTGTATGGGCTATTAATTAACAGCTGTGACTAAGGAACATGTCGGCCTTAGTCACTAACAAGACTACAAGATCGCGCCACTCATCCTACACTCATCCTTCACTCATATTTGGGTTAAAATACGCACATAGTGGCGTCCCCATCTTAAGTAATTGATAAAATTGATAAAAAGAATAGAATGTAAACAAGAGTTAGTAAAGTGTGTGTTGTCTTTTAAAGAAGATGTTAGTTAAATGGTTTAAATAAAATGTTGTTATTGCATACTTTCACTGAGTACTGATAGTTTTTTGTCAGTTTATTCGTAACAATAAATTTATATCTCCTGACACAAAATGTGACAAATACTTCCTTAGGCTTAAAGGTTACAAAAATAAATTAATTCCACACCTATAAAAATGCACACTTCCAAAACACTTTTTGTTTGCAAAGCGTTGAAGGGAGATCAATGTGAAAAGCCAGGTTTGACACCACGATCCTCAGAGTTGAAAGTTAAGCGCGTGTTTCTCCGATGATTATGCTGATTTGCTGCTCACCCGTCAATCCGCGGCGGGACTTTTAACCATTCACCTTAATGAGACCTCTCGCAAAATGTACTCCATCCCATCTCGTGTCTTGGAAATGCTCTGATCAGGTATTGTTTGAAGTTATGTACATGATTGTACACGATGCATGTGTGCGTGATTTTATGATATACCACTAGGTCGAAATCCTTAAAAGTTTCTTTCCATTGTTAATGCAAAGTTTGGTATAGATAGTTATGTAATATATTTATTTTTGATATAAATATAATATTTTTTTTTTTAAATAAAAAATAAATATTTTTATCTTACGTAAACTGTTCCAGGTTCCTCTTAAGTAATTCCTAGTTCCTTACTTATCCTGACAAACCTCCAATTTTTTATATTTTATTTTGCTGGATAATCGTTATCTATCGAGCATAGTCCAAACACTCGCTAGGAAAAAAAGTAGAAACCAATTAAAAATTGTAGCGATTTCATTTACGACTTGCAAACAAACTAAAACAAATCTATCAAATGTATAGGGATGTACATAATAACAAATGTAACGTGAAAACATTTACCCTTATATTGTAGTTAAATAAAAAATGTAAATGTAAACTAAATAAATAACGAGACTATATGGCAATTTTTCATTGCTAAAATTAAACTTTACTCATCAGCAAATATATTTAAAAATCTAGGAAAAGGTTTATTTAATCACCCTGTTCAGGGGTTTTGTCTCTACCTCTTCAAATCTTTGCATCAGCCAAATTGACTGGAATTCCCATAGAGTAACAAAACACAAGACCCTCCAGATGGGGTAATTACGTACGTTCCCTTTGTTGGCGTTCGCACCACTTGAGATTTCAATAAAAAGCTTTTGAATAGAATAAGCAATAACCCGAGGGAGGCAACGACTGATTGAGAGATGAGGGAAGGCTCTGGGGAGGAACTTTCTTTGCATCTTTGTGCTGAATGTGTGTGAAAATGTGCGGCCTTTAAGATCGGACGATTCCATTTACTGTTATATTTCCACCTGTTGATGACTTAATCGTGGATGAAAACGTAACTGAATGTACCTAATCTACCTAGCGTACCTAATGTACCAAAAATTAAAACCTTTAAAAATGAGGGCAGGAAGGTTTGAGGTGTAGGATTTAGTTGGAATGTAAATCGTGCTTTAAAAAATCTATTTTGACAAAATAATTTACTATAGAGTAGCGAAATTCTTAAAGATTGGATTTCGCAGCATTTTCTTATGCTATAAGATGTATTCATAGAGTGAGAAAGACCTGTTATAATGCTCCCTAAAATCAGAAATTAGTTTAAAAGAACAACCCACCACGGTTAGCATTTATGTTTTAGTCATAATTTGGTTGCATTTTTTGTACGTCGTAGTCTAGAATCCATCCAGAAATTTTGAATAGCTTATTGCTATTAAATTGCTATTAAAAATCACTCTTAGTAAAAAACACTCTAAGTTTAGGGAATAATCAAAGTTTGGGTCACTATTCTGTTTCATAAACCTCCATAGAAATGGATCCATTAGCATATTTTATGGTAAAGATTATAATCCATCTATTTACCACAGAGATGGAGCTTAGTGCTGCTTTTAGACTAAAACTGAATTTTGGATCAACAACAGAATTGGGTCTCAGCTAAAGAAAGCTTCTTGAACAGAATCAAACTTTGCCCAATTACGAACTTAAGTTAAAACAATACTCCATCGCTTTCGATTTTTATAGTCGAATTATTAAGAAATAAATTCTAAAGACACAGGCAAGAAATAAACCATAATGCCAAATACACTCCAACGACACGGACAACTGCGAATTAATCACTTTGATATGCAATCCCACATTGCAAAGGCGAAAGGAAAGGTAGACAAATATTTTACCTTTTCGTTGGTTGAGATGTGAAACTCAGAACGTTTGTGTCTGAAGATGAAGCGTCTTGCGGGACCGCTTTGGGGATGAATAAATGTTTATGCAGCATCTCCGTAAAATTACCTCCAAAGGGAAACAAAACATCAAAGATACACTCGATCATCTCGCCTCCCAATACGACGCAAAGGCAAGTCTTCGAAACATTCTTTTACATTCTCATTCCACATTTTTACACCATTTCAAATTTACCAACGTTTCATTTGGAATTCGGTTGTAAAATAATGATTTGGATGTAATTATAATTTATTAGGTGTAATTTCGGTTGTGGATGTTCAATGGTAGATGAGTAAACATAATGTATTATTGCATACAGTATTTTTCCATGTTTAGCAAGCAATACATTCTTCTCGAAGGTCTATTTTAGCGTCCGTTTTTCTTTATCTTTTAATACTTAAATAGTCAGGTGTTATGGACAACTAAGCCAAGGTAAAACTATAAAACTTTATGTAAGTAG